TAGCTGATACAGGCACTCTTGCAGCATGGGTAAATGTAAAGTGCTCTAAACTGTCCTCAGTTAAAAGTAATTACAAGAATACAGTCCATTTCCCCAGTTAAGGATACTTGACTTCACTGCAGATTTTAAGAGGCTCTACTTATCAGCAATATAGCCTGCTTCTTACTGAGGATGGAACAAAGCTCAATGAGTGCTTGTATGGTAATGGTTTCAGTTTAAAAGCATCTCTAATAATCTTAAATTAACAAAACTTTCTAATGGAAGAAACAAATCTCTATAGGTGCCATAGTTCCAGGAACAACACGACAAAATCATCCCCTCTAAAAGAGGCATTTAAAACCTTTTTTTTTTTGGTAATAAAATGAGTCATTAAGATCCCAGATACTTACAGCCTACTCTATTCTTTTGTCCTTCTAGACATTGCTTTGATGAAATGCACAGATCACACTGGATCGTCATCCCTGGAGCTACTGGTGCACTAATGCTCTGAATACATTATGCAATTAAGTAAATAAAGTGAGAGAGGTCTGGGACAAACCAGGAGGTTTGGTGAATTAATACACTGAGGATATAAGAAATAAGAAGTGGCTACATATTGACAAATGCACAAATAGCATTTCAGTAGTGCTTCAGTACGGAAAACTGAATTCAAGTCAATTTCACACCATTGAGAACGAAATGTAAACTTGGTTAATTTACTAGTGTTCCTTTTAGTGTCAAGTGTCCTGAACTAAACCAGCATGTTTGCCGACTTCCCATATCTGAAAAAAGTTATCTACCCAGGCACCAAAACATGACTGTTACAACAGTAACAGGTGAGATATTACACAATATCAAGAAAAGCAACACAGTGGAAAGAAAGAAAAAGTCAACTGATTTAAACTACTGATAAAGCCATGCAAGTCAGACTGGAGCTAAGAAATGTCAGATAAAGTGGCTGCTAAACTGTGAAGGTGACTCTCCAGGCCTTGCAGAGAAGGGAAGCAGTACTGTGTTCCCCATTTGATTAATGTGTTGTCGCCATTTGTTTGCTCTGAATTCTTCCATTCAAAGTAAGTAGCCTTATAAACTAAACGTTTACAGTACTAGCTCGGGTTTATGAATCTGTCTGTGTAAGTGCATGCAGAGATACTGCTTGCCAAACAGGTTGTGGACGCACACAAACTCGCGTTCTACGCTTTCAGCCTAATATCTCTTCTGTGCAGCTGTAGTCAAGTGCATTTTTGTATGTGTGTGTTTGTGTGTTGCCACAAGTGGCCCCTGCTTTTTACAAGGCTCTTTGAAAATAAAACCCAACACTGCAGCCCGTCCCCGCACGCCTGTAGCTCTCTTTACAATTACGCAACACGAAACGCATGCCTTATGTGTAGCTTAACTGTAAGAGAGACGAGCTACATCTTCATGATCTATGAAAAATCGGAAGTTTTAACAGAAACCAACACTGAGCACTATTTGTGGGTGGGATGAAGAAGGAAAAAAAAACCTGGCCTGTGCCCAAAGTCCCAGCCAGATCCCCGCAAGTGCCTTAAAGTCGTCTTTTAAGCGTGTAAACTACTCTTCTGATCTTGAAATAAACAGTTGTTTCCATCTCTG